CTAATTCCTCCCTCTCCTTTTGAGACAGGTTGCAGAAACTCCTTGCCTTTGAACCCTACTGGTTTTAAAATTAGATTCCGAACCCCCGGGGTACAGGACCCTTCTCAAAAGCAAGGGTAAAGCTGCTCGGGGCCTGTGGAATAGGAAACAAATACATTTCGGTGAATTTTAACCGGCTGCCTCGTTGCTACAGGATTGATATATTTTTTTAAATCTGTTTGATTATTGTCATAATGGCTAGAGACGTGGAAATGGGAGATTGTGAAGTCAGAATAGATAAAAAATTTACACATCAAAGAAGGTAGATTCGACCGGGCTTCCATTTCTCTTTGAATATTTTTTGGAGCCCTGTTCCTCTGATCCGACGTTCTTATTTCCTGAACTTTGAATTAGATGAGTCTGAACAAGCATCCAGTCTCGACTTTGAAAGTCTAGCCACTTGCAGAACGAGATTAACATAATTTACAAGTGAAATTCGTGAGGTGTTTCGAAAGGGGTATTATATTATACAGAGAATTAAAGATAAAAGGATACCGTTTATTGCACGCTTATAAAAGCTTAGACAGTTCTTGTTGAAATAGGTTTGGTTATAAAATAAGCATGTTAACGAAGGTTACTTTAGTCAGAAATCTTCGCTGAATGAATGTCAAACATATAGGTGTTCTCTGTTGCTCTTCTGTTGCCAGCTTTGTGTAATGCTATACAACATCTCAAAATGCTTTTTATTGGTCTGATTGACATGTTAAAACTAAGAGACAAAATGCAGCTTTGCATCACTAGGTGTTAAAAACACACATTAAAAACCAAGGCTTTGTTTTAAGCTCACGATTCTACCTTATTAATGGAAAAGAGCGCAGGGATCCAAGTTAAGGTACTGAATAGGTCACGAGAAACCATCTTTGGTTATTTTTGCTGGAAGACTGAACTGATCTATCACCACTGCTCTTCCTAATAAGACAGGATATTAAAAGGGTTGGACCATTGTTTAAATGACATACAGTTTTTCCATTTTCTCGACATAAGTGTCTCTTTTCTTCAGAGAACTTATGACAACAGGGTGACATGATAGCAGTCTTCCAACACTTTAGGGCAGGGGTCTTCAGACTTGGCCCTTTTATGACTTGTGGACTTCAATTCCCAGAATTCCTCAGCCAGGCACGCATGCCTGGCTGAGGAATTCTGGGAGTTGAAGTCCACAAGTCATAAAAGGGCCAAGTTTGAAGACCCCTGCTTTAGGGGCTGTCACAAAGAAGAGAGGGTCAACCTATTTTCCAAAGCACCTGATGAAGGCAGGACAAGAAGCAACAGACGGAAAGTAATCAAGGAGAGAAGCAACCTAGAATTAAGGAGAAATTTCCTGACAGTGAGAACAATTAACCAGTGGAACCACCTGCCTCCAGAAGTTGTGGGTGCTCCATCACTGGAGGTTTTCAAGGACAGACTAGACAACCATTTGACCACGTTATATTTGCAAATAAAAGCTTAGTGGCAACTGTGTTACTGGCCATTTTCTTTTATTCTGTTGCGGTCTTCTTCCTGTTGCTGTATCTTGCGCTTACTTGCTGTAGCCGGCTTTGACCGGGCCCAAAGGAAAAATGGGCAGAAAAGCCTTTACAAGAGTGGGGCAGCAGAAGCGTGCTGGGTCCATAACCTGTTAGAAATTCTGTATACAGCCCTACAGAACAAACAGTGCACCGTCCACATGTGCTTTCCTGCTGCCTTGCCGCAGTTATGCAGAAAAGCACATGGGGACGGTGCACTGTTTGTTCTGCAGGGCTATATACAGAATTTCTAACGGACCGGGATGGTACATAGGGTCTCCTGCTTGAGCAGTGGGCTGGACTAGAAGATCTCCAAGGCCCTTTCCAACCCAAATATCCTGTGACTTGCACGGTGCTTCATCTTTTCACCCTCAACAGATGCGACAAGGGGCGTTCCTGGTGAACACGGCTCGTGGAGGATTGGTGGACGAAAAGGCCCTCGCACAAGCACTGAAGGAAGGCAGAATACGGGGAGCAGCCTTAGACGTCCACGAATCGGAACCGTTCAGGTGATTTGCACTTCTCATTCTTGAAAAACAGCTTGGAGAGCGTTGAAATAATAGCACCATCTCCGCTTTGTGGGAATGCTTAGGATTTATATGCAGAGCAGACTGATTTGGAAAAACAGCGTCCCAAATACATTGTTTAACAGCATTTGCGTTGTTTGCATCAAAGTCTAATGGGAAAAGGGTCCTTAACCATCTCTAGCATCTCCTGAGACCAAGCCCGTCTCTAAACATATTGTTAATACATATTGGGACTACAAGGATCTCTCTCATAAACCATTCAGCTGAATGTCTCTGGAGATTCTCCTCATCCAGGTCACGGTTGTCCCAAAGATGCTTTTTCATGAGGTAATTGGACTTTCCTTGTTTTCCTTTGAAGATGAAGTTTTTCTTCAAAGAAAAACAAAATGTCTTCAAAGAAAAACAAGAAAGTCCAGTTGCCTCGTGAAAGAGCATCTTTGGGACTATTCAACCAAATAGCTTCAAGGATCAAAAATTCAAAAATACATAGGCTAAGGCAGGGGTAGGCCACCTTGGCTCTTTTGTGACTGGTGGACTTCAACTCCCAGAATTCCTGAGCCAGCCTGGCTCAGCTTGGAAACCTCTCCCTTTCCCCTCAGCATGGCTGGCTCAGGAATTCTGGGAGTTGAAGTCCACCAGTCATAAAAGAGCCAAGGTGGCCTACCCCTGGCCTAAGTCCTCCTGCTCTAAGCGGTGAGCCTCCTAGACCAGGGGTAGGCAACC